GTAGCAAGCCAATAATATTTGTGATATATAATGGTTGTTTTAATATTAATAATATTGCTCTAAAAAAAGAAAATTTGCAGGATAGTACAATATATATGCAGCAGTAGCAGTTGAGGTAGTGTGGCGGTGGTGGCGATGGTGGCGAAGGTGGCAGTGGTAGCAAGCCAATAATATTTGTGATATATAATGGTTGTTTTAATTAATATTAATAATATTGCTCTAAAAAAATAAAATTTGCAGGATAGTACAATAATATATGCAGCAGTAGCAGTTGAGGTAGTGAGTGGTGGCGATGGTGGCAGTGGTGGCGAAGGTATGGTGAAGGCAGGGCCATTCCTAGCACGATAATTGGGGTCGGGTGGGGGGGGGGGTATATTCATATATTTGTGTTCTGCCAAGGCCTCGAAATAAGTGCCAGTCACTGACCGGTAAAAAGTCACAGTTTGACCGGCAAATCTTGTCGCCTGGCGGACATACGTGACCAGTAAATTTTTTAATAAAAAAGTACGTTAAAAAATGGAGCAGATTTTTATTTCCAATTTTCCAAAGAAGCGTATATGTCCGTCTACAGTGCAGGCAAATAATGGCGGCGAAGTGACACATTTTGTCATACATGCAGATACGATATACCACAAGCATTGTACCTAAGGGGCGGATAATTTGACTTTGGGGGGAGGGGGGGAGTGGGTTGGAAGATTTCAAAAAAAATATTCCAGCAACCCAAGGAGAAAGAAAGAAAAAATCGTGCAGCATACAATCGAGAAAAAAAATATCATGCAAAAGAGAGCGCTCAAAAAAATATTCTTCCATGTAAATCTACTGAAGCTTTTCACTTCAGTATTGTATCCACAGGCTTGAAAGATTTTGCATTTTTGAGCAGCTAGCACATTCGCTTAAAAGAACACTGGGTGAACAGTGGACAGCATCACAGGGATAGCCAGTCGGACATTCCCTGGCAAAATTGTTGCCCTTTATATAATAAACAGAAAAATACATGGGCATGGGCGTCAATCCTTGGGGGATGGGGGGGACATGTCCCCCCAGTTTTTGGAGTAGGGGGACGAATATCTAATTATCCCCCCCCCCCACACACACTTTTTGACATGTTTAATGAAATTTTGTTTCTTGGTTATCTAAAAACCTAATGCATGGTCAGTGCTGTTCTTCAAAAATTGTGATTGAATGGAAGACATTTAATAAGAAGTACAACGTATGATCTCTCTGTAGCCGCTCGGAGCAAGTACTGATATCTCATATGTAAAATTGTAAATATTTAAAAAGAATTGCGTCTTAACTGTCTCGTCTAACCCTACAAGGTTATTACAGTTAGCTTGCACCTTCATATTATGTAATATTTAATGAAGAGAAGCAGTGGCGGACACTAGGGGGAGGGGGCGAGGGGTGGCCCGAGCCCCCCGGATAATTTTAAAAGACTGTAAAAATCTTGTACCAAATAACACAAATCACACTCATATAACGTAATATATTGTCATATTAAATAATAACTATTAGATAAAACTTAAGCTAAAGCAGTAAGCAATATACCAAACAATATAATAATATACGTTTCTGTACTGTAACTGACACAACATACGCATTTTATACATTCTTTTTGACGGATACTAGGAGGTCAACTTTTTGCAACAGGCACTTCTTTAAATGTCATTGTCGATTTTTTGTTGTTTTTGAAGCTTATACTAGTCTTTAGCAGCAAAATTTTCTGCTGCACAATAATATTTGAATGCGTATTAAACTATTATGCTCAAAAACAACGGATAATTCAATTAACATTCCAATTTTAATTATGTTAACAAAAACAAAAGCGTGCGCAGCGAATAAATTTTTACATGCAATTCCATTCAGAAATGGTAATAATCATGTAAATATTTTCTCTGAAATGTTGTTTTTCTATGCTTTGCATGTGATTTATAACTGAATTAATGCCGACCATTAAAACAGTGTTTTGAACACCTAGTTTTTTACAAAATGTGTTCTCAGAATGCTGCAAATGCCATTTCCGGGATCCAAATTTTAAAATTTTTCCATGCCTTTGGCACGAGCCTCTAGCCTGCGAAAACAGCCTCTACTTTCTAATAGGAGCAGCAAAGTAGAGGCTGTTTTCGCAGGCTAGAGCCCTCCCCCCAATATTTCGTAAAGTGTCCGCCACTGAAGAGAAGTTATATGTAAATTTCCAGGTGCTAATAAATATTGATTAATAACTGAGTTTCCCTTACATAGATGATTATCATCAAAATAAGGCAAATGGTTAATTTAATAGATTATTAGCATTATAAAATAAGAGTGAGGACATGTTCATCGAGAGTAACGTCTGTTTACAGGCTAGGACATGTTGGTTTCTAGAATATTTCTCACATGGTTAACATTCTCACGTGGATTTAAGATCATGCACATTGAAATATAACTTTATAAGTGCCTCCAAAACGCTGGGAATGCCGTTTCAGTGTACCAAAATTTAAAAAAAAAATCAGGTAGCATGCCTCCGGACCTTCATAATTTGGAGTCCGTCCCCCCCCCACTTTTTGGGATAGATTGACGCCCTTGTACACGGGTGCTTGGAAATACCAGATTTATTTCTCGTGTTGAACATGATATCTCACTTGTTTGCTGCGCTCACTTGTGAGATATCATGTTCAACACTCTCTATCTATTAACTATACAGGGTGTATAAAAAAAACGCAACCTCGGAATTTCCTAAGAAATCACTTTGCAATTCTTAAGCATAAAAGATTTTAGGCCCCTGGGAATTGAAATCAAATTGCTAATAGATCATATTACCGTCGTTTTGCATTAAATAAATTTTGCTTTATGCAACTCGCGTGTGCAGTAATTTTGACAGCTGTGCTATTTTAAATTCCCAGGCGCCTAAAATCTTTTGTCTTTAATTTAAAACAATGTCGATTTCTCGGGAAATTCCGAGGTTGCATTTTTTTTATACACCCTGTATATGGCTACGCTAAATATTTCAATACAGACAATGGATTGCAATAATTTGCAAAACAGTTATGTCATAGGTGGTTATGTTTTCAGAAGTTTATGTTTTTGATTGGTTGGTTGCGTGCGTCTCCCAGCACACATACTTTATGACCGGGCCCTAGAAAGCACGTTTTCCCATGACATATTTTTAATAGTATTACATTCTTTTGTAAATAAATTATTTTGCTGGTGGTGTTACATGTTGTGTTTTTAAGTTACGTAGCGACATGAGCTATGGGTAAGTGCATGGGCTGAGATATCACAAAATAATATCCCATTTGTGCTGTCTTCTATACTTTCAATATCATTAGTAAAAATGTTATCAATTAATGTGGCAGTGTGTTGTGTGATTCTTGTTGGTCTTAATGTAAGTGGGAAAAATGAAGACGTAAACATTTGTTCAAGGAATCTGCTAGTATAAATCACAAGATTCTGATTTCAAGAGATCTGTATTAATTAATGAAATCTCCCATGAGCTGGCCTATCTTATTTTCTTTGTCTATTTTGCCTAGTATCTGATTCATTATATTTTCAAACAAATCAATTTTATTATTTGGCGGTTAACTGCTAGGGTGGGCTGGAGTGTTTTGGGATGGGCCATGGAAAATCTTTGGGCAGTTTTTTTTTGTATGTCCACGGTTGGGCCACCAAACAAAAACCAATATATTATATAAAGATATTAATAATAAAAGTAAACAAAACTATCCAAATGCAAATGATGCTATTGAAGCCAGTACTTTGTTTTATCAAACAAGAAGAGGTGGTCGAATCACAGCAAATACAACCAAATGGAGAACAGCTCAGTATCGTAATTGGTGATGAATGTGTTGGTCAAGCTTGGTGGAATTACGTATGTCAATACAGTGCCAGTGTATATTTACAATGTTCATACCTTCAAATATTTTTTTTATAAAAGTGTATTTTCCCAATTTAGATTGGGCGGGTGGGTCATGAAATAAATTTGGTAAGATTAGATGGGCTTTGAAATTTTTATCTACATCCTAAGATGGGTCACCAAACTTATTGGAAAAATTTGTGATTTACCTCCAGCCCACCCTAGCAGTTACTTATGACCAGTCCCTTAATAGTAATACGTTTCACCAACAGCTGTAACGAGTTTTATGAATATGGATTCAATTGTAGTTTACCGCTACGATTCATGATGATAAATACAGTAAGTAAGTAAGTAAGTGCAAAAAGTCCTCATTATTAATATTATTATCATTTAGCCACGTCTCAGTTCAGTTAAACCTATTATTTATAATGGTATGTTTAATTAATGATTTGGTTTACTCCTTCAAAGAGTCAAATTTATTAACTATTATGCTTCTTGTATTTAAGTGTAACATCGAAAAGCTTTCGTTGAGATTCGCCTTGTTGGTAAATTTATTGAAATCATTTGGTAAACTGTATTCACAGTTGTTTATTATTTTTTTTCCATATTTGCGTTGTTTTCAGATTTATAGGCAATATTATTAAAACGAGTGTCGAAAGGGTTAAATTTCAAATGCCTTAGCCTAACCATATCGTTTTCACTGATATTTTTTCGTTTAAAACGGTAAATTAATACTCTAAATCGTCAAGTGTGTGGTAGTATCAGATAAGCAATTTTGACACATGTCAATAGTGTTATTTGTATTGGAGTCAAATGACTTTGCGCAAGCAGACACAGCGTGAAACAATTTTTCACATGTGAGACATTCAATATATTTTTGTGTTTCTTGAATTATTTTGAAGCAGGAATAGCATTTTTTCTTGTGCTTATTTTTACGAGTAGCCATTTAGAAAGTAGTTTTGTCCAATGTTAAATTAGATTTTCAAAACACACCGCAATATACATGACATAGTATTAAGTGAGTGTTTGTATTAACGTGTATTAGTATTATTAAAAACTTGCCCTTCAATAATCAATTTATCCTTAACAATTCTTGATTGTTTTCCCGCAGCTCTTGCCTTCTTCAATTCAGGGAAGCAGCTCTTGCCTTCTCCGTTACGGCCCATTCGATGAGATCGGTCAATCTTGACATGCTTACGCTTACGTGCGTCTTCGCTTTGAAGTAATGAACGATTTCTATCTTTTGCTCTAAGAGATCATGTATAATTTCCGTGGTATTCTCCTTCTCGTGTTCGGATATGTTGAAGAACAACAGGTTGTCGCGCATAGACCTCGCTTGTTAAGTCTATATTATCTAATATCTTGTTGCGCATAGACTGTATATTAACATTATCGCATGTCAATAGCAATATAATTTCGTTTTGGAAAGTGATTTTGTATAGATTTTATTGATATTGTATCGATTTAACTCATAAAATATGCTTCGCAAGTCAACTGTTATATTTATATCATGATTATCGCGGATATTATATATTTAACTCATGAATTTATTCATCGCACCTTGAAACTACACACTTGACTTGTTAGTGATACTGATATCATGTGTCTACATGTCAATAGCAATATAATTTCGTTTTGGAAAGTGATTTTGTATTGATATTGTATCGATTTAACTCATAAAATATGCTTCGCAAGTCATGTTATATTTACGCGGATATTATATATTTAACTCATGAATTTATTCATCGCACGGTCGATCTTTCTCGAGTCTCGAAGCGGGATTCAAACGGAAGTAAGAAAGGCCTCTAAAGTGATTCTGTGATTCGTCGACCACCACGACCACCAATTAACATGCTCTAGCCAATGGCGTTAGACCTTGCAAACGGTGCGACCTAACAGGACACGCCCGGCTTATAGCCGTATTGCCGGCTGGTAGCCGTGATGTATTGTAGTACACTATAGTATACTACCGACAGGCTCGGCTGACACTCGTATTGCATTGTAGTATTTTATTACAGTTAAATAACCCCGGCTGGTAGCCAATGGCGTTAGAGTTAGACCTAAACGGTGCGACCTACAGGACACGCCCGGCTTATAGCCGTATTGCCGGCTGGTAGCCGTGATGTATTGTAGTACACTATAGTATACTACCGACAGGCTCGGCTGACACTCGTATTGCATTGTAGTATTTTATTACAGTTAAATAACCCCGGCTGGTAGCCGTGATGTTTTGTAGTAGTATACTATAGTATTGTATTAAAGAGTAGATACGGCTCGGCTGCTACTGTACCCTTGGCCGTGTACAATGGTGTACGTACTTACGCATTCATAAATCCCGCTGGCTAAGAATAACTTGTATATATACAATTAATTAACATATTTTCCGTGTAAGACGTGGTAGCGCAAGGGGATAACACTCAGCGTGTATGCTGAGGGTCGTGGGTTCAATCCCAGAGTGTGATCAAGCGAATTTGAATTTTTCTCTTTGCCGAAATTGCTTTTTTTTCTCGTTTATTTACCTGTCGCATAGCTAGCTATATGCATTGGGAAGATGAATTTAGATGCATTTCGATGATTTTCGGAAAATTTAATGTAATTTTGGTGGTTTTCTGCTTATGAAACATTCTAGAACCAGTCTCCGAAATGCGCGCATTTTTTGAACGAATAGTATAGATCGGAAGAGCGTGTAGCAGCCGAGCAATCGGAGACAAAATTTCCGGCTGTCAGCCGGCGTCAAACGCGCTAATCGGGTGAAAATATGGCGGATTTAAGCGAAGTGAAAGAGACACTAGTCAAGTTAGCAAATAGAATTTCCGACTTGTATGGCGTCAAATATCCGCCAAAATTCAACTTTGTTATTTTATGTTGAACATTTTTCATTTCTTTGGACTTTTTGTATTCTCCATTCAAGTTTGTATTCTACATTCAAGTTTGTATTTTGTTCAAGTTTGTATTCTACATTCATACGTTTTCATTTTATTCGACTGTTCGCATTTTACATTCAAGTTTGCATTTCGTTCATTGAACTTTTTGCATTCGACATTCAAGTTTGTATTCTACATTCATAAGTTTTCATTTTATTCGACTGTTCGCATTTTACATTCATGTTTGCATTTTATTCATTGTGGACTTTTTGTATTCTCCATTCAAGTTTGTATTCTACATTCATACGTTTTCATTTTATTCGACTGTTCGCATTTTACATTCAAGTTTGCATTTTATTCAAGTTTTTCAATTGTGCATCCAACCGCAATCCACGAGGCATGAGTGATCGTGGGCTCAAACGATGGTTCGCGCCTCGCGCCACAAAATAAGGATTCGCGCGCTTTCAAAATGGCGGATCGAGATTATTTGGTCACCGCCATAAATGATGTATTAACTACCTTAAACCGCTATGTAGATTTAGATAGTTCCTCGACAGACTTCCAGCCAGTTATCTTAAGACTGGATTACTTACAGAGGCTTGTAGTTAATCTTGCAATAGATGATTTTGTAATAGAAATGATATAGTTAGCCTACAGAACGTTGGTTGAGATCGATAACAACGAAACGATTTCAGGTTACAGAGCGTCTATAGACACGACTGGGCAACGAGGAAGACCATCATTTGAAATCAGAGAAGAACAACTGTCTTACCTTTTAGAACAAGGATTTAATGTGAGAGACATAGGAAGTATTCTAGGAGTAAGTGTCCGCACTGTGGAGAGGCGAATGTCATCGTTTGGGCTAACTGTATCAGGTAAAAAACTGTACACAGTACTATATATGATCTCTTTCGTATTGTACAATATCAAACAATAACATATATAACAAGTGCATCAGACAGGACACCCCCTGGAAAACTGGTAAGTAAATGAATTTTTTGTTTACAAAACTGTTTGACTGCTATTGTTTCAATTTTAGAAATTTAAAAGGTTTGCATATGTTTGTAAAAATTTTTAAGCTTTGCTTATGTTTATAGTCGGGAAAAATTTTAAGCTTTGCTTATGTAAATTTTTTTACCTCTCCCCATTTGTCAGCAAATGTCAAACACACCCTGCCTAAAGTGCTTAGCGACGGCCCTAACAACAGACAACAAACCTGTTTTAAAGTTTTGCAGATTAGGGGGGGGGGGGGGGGGGGGG